GGGGATGCAGAAAATGTTAGATTGTATATGTGTCCCTTGCTTTTTTAAAATTTTAAACAGAAAACAAAATAACAGTAACGATAAAAACAAAACAACATGAAAACAATACTGAATTTGAAAACAAGATGATAGGAAATTAACAATGGTTGTTATATTACATATTGTTATCTTTCACAAAGTGCTCAGATTACCAGATGTAAGATCGCAAGACTGATCAAACAATTACAAAGAATAAAAAATAATAAAAAAGATTAGAAATGATACCGAGTTTCACTAATCAAGATGGTAGGAATTCAACAATGGTTGTTATAGTGTATACCGTTGTCTTCATTAGTTGTTCAGATTACCAGATATAAGCATGTAAAATTGGTCAAAAAGAAAAATGTAAGCATTGACTGTATGTGTCCATTCTATGTATGTTCCAAAGCTTCAAAAAACTTTTCAGAGGAGGGGGGATCTAATTCACTGAAGTTTTACTATGTGCTACAAAGTGTATGGGGCACACTGACCACATTATTACACTTGGGAAATGTATTGGTTACTTCTAATTATTAATTAGTAAACTGAAAATTCTAGAGCCATAGTCAACACACATGGAAAGCGGAAAAGCCAAGAACAGAATTTGGTGTCTCTGACCTCTATTTGTTCCTTCAAGTATATCACATAGTTTTTTCAGGGTCTTCCACGTACAATACATTATTTCTGACTAATCTTTATTTGAAAATAGTTGTAAACATCTTTTCTTTGTTTTAGAGATTTCTTATTAAATATTATATGGAGGCAAACATTTACACGGTAAAAATCTACATTTAAAGCAAGCTTTCAGTTAATTTTTTGAATTAAATCATACTGCTCTAATTTTCTGTTCACCTAAATTTATGATTTCTGACAGAATGGCATTATATATCTATAAGAAAAAAAGGCCACAGAAAACCTTACCCTAAATCTATACTTTATAACTATATCACAGCAAAAGTAATACCACAACTTTTTAGTACATTCGCTGCAATGTCCTGGATAACATCTAATCGTTCTATCAATTCTTGAGCTCCTAGTCAACAAGTACCTTTAGCCATATAGTTATCTCCCATGATACAATTACCTGTAAGTAGTAGGTACTGAGTTTTCAGTGAGTGAATAAATGAAAGAAACAAAAAGAAACCTGAAATACCAGAAATTACATTGATTTATTAAAAAGCACAAAACAAGTATTATTTTCAGCATTTGGTGACATAAAAATCAAAGCAAGAGTAGGTACAGCAGATGTAGACAAAGATGGATATCATTCCCATTTAAAAACTGTGTAGTAATCCCTGACTCTCATCTATTCCTTGTTATGAGGAGAGGCTAAATTTAGGATACTGGTAGGAGGATAAAGAACACTAACAAGGTGGACTAACACAAAAGAAATGAAAGGAGCACTCAACAGGGTTGAGAGTTATAATAAATGAGAGATATTCAGATATTTTCATTTATTATAGATAGGTATATTTATGAAGGCTAATATAGGAAAATAAAAGAATATTACCATCTTAAATAGCAAATAAAGACAGAGGATATTTGGATAACTTGCTAATAAAACATGTGACTCTGATAGAAAATACTGCAAAGAGAGATTAATGGTGCAGAAATGTAAGTATGAAAACACAAAAATAAGGTATTCTACAAGGGATCAATCCATTTTAAGGTTTTTGGTTGTGCTTTGCTGCAATTAGAATTGTACATTGCAAAGGCTGATCACATGGGTAGGAGCTAGAAGGATAAGTTATATTTATGCCTCTATGTTTTAAAGTAGCCATGATTAAGAGTCTGTAATATAATTGTATGAAAGTAGCATTTTAGAACAAACTACAAATTTTTTTTTCTGCCTTTGTATTTTTGGGTAAAAAATGAAATTTTCTAGAATAGGTAAGCTTCAGTTTTTAGTTATATGTAAAACGTGAAACAAAATTTAGAGGAGGCATTGGTTGGGCTGAGCATCTGCACTAGTCCCAACAGACCAAACCCATACAAAGTTACTCAGGCTGAATTTCAATGACAACGCACTGAAACCAAGCTGTTTATCTGACCGTCCAAGAAATCAAGAGAGACAGAATGATACCCAAATCCCCAAATAGGCCAGTTCTAGCTCGCATGATAAGGAAGTCCTCTCTGCTTCAACTTTTCTAAGAAAAGTATCTTCGAAATGACCAATCTGCTTTTCTGTTCTGTTTCTACTTTCCTGAGCAACTGTCTATAAAGCTAACTCTCTGTTGAGCTTAGCTCAGCAGAATACTCTATTTTATAGAATGAAGAGTTGTCCAATTCAATTATCATAAATAAAAGCCAATTACAACTTTTCCTTTGTTGTAATTTTGTGTTTTGACAAAAATCAAAGCATAATATAATACACAGTATGTAAAAATCTTATCGACACTACTATTTCCAGAATTCCACAGGTTAGAAAAACAATGTCTGTGAGAAATAAAAATACTAATCACTCACATATTACCTAATTAGATGATCACTAAGTCAAAGCATAGAATTAAAAGTCTATTTAAACTTTGTACTCTCATTGTATAATCCCCCACATTACATTAAAAAGCAATACTAAAGTCTCAAATCCCTACAGAAGTCTAGGCAAATTCTCTCAGAGAATTTTACAAAGAACATTCCATATCCTAAAACAAAACAGAATTAACACTTTCATGGGCTTTCTAAATTTACAAACCATGAATTTTAGTAAAAACTAGGACTCAGTTAAGCATGAAAATAGTCTTTTAGAAAACTTCCAAAAAAGAATTTGATTCTACAATGTGTTCTAAAATTCAAGTCAAGAAATGAAACTTTATATACACTTACTTGGCTAACTTACTATGTATGAAAAAGTATTTTTATCCTCTCATTAATATATAATCTGACTTCCTATTTCTACATAAACACATGCAAATGGCCTGAAAATAATACTGAACATTTGAGATAGAGGTTTGTAGTTTAATAGTAGATTTGCTTACTTGCTTTTAGATGCTATCAATAAGAAAACAAAAGATACTCTCAAAACTAAGAAATATTGTGCCAATCTGCACTAACACTGAAAACATTTACTGCTCTGCGGCTTTTCTGCAATGGTATACTTAATAAGGATTACTATGAGTGCTATAAATGAGAATAACATCTATGTATTTTATCAACTTAAGTTATGCTATTTTAATTGCATTTTACTTATTAATGATAATTGTGAATGATTCCCTGTATTACATGCATAGAACTAAAACCTAATAAATGTGTAAGCCTAATTTTGTTTTTCTATTTAATTTCATTTGAAAAAAGTGATAATCTAAAAAAGTATAAGAGGTTATTTGGAAAACTACTGCCTTATTTCCAAATCAGGAGTCCTTTAGTGTAATTATGAGGTATATTCTTCAAAATGTTCTACACATTAAAATACACAGTTGTTCGTGTTATAGCAACCTGAAGCTAAATTAACAGCATAGTACTAGTAATAACAATATAAAATATTCCATTCACATACTTCTGATTTAAATTACTAAATGGCAACGAGTGCAGATAATTTTCTCACTCAGAACTGTATTTGTAAGGGAACAAGGAACAACAGCATAGTAGCCTAAATTGCTGCGACATGCAAAGTATCAGTGTTTATCCTGTGCAAAATAGAAAGACAACTAGCACATAGGGGAGAAGAAAAGACATGTAAGAATAACTAGAACTTAACAAGCCTGTGGTGAACACCACATAATAATATAGAAAAGGATCCTGAGAACTTGGATGCGGAATACAATGTGGAAGTGAGTGTATTCTCCTTTGGGGAGAAGGACAAATGATGCAGTTCTATACATCTGTGTAGAGGATGAAGCAAAAAGAAGAGATAACTCATTAACTGGCAGTGATCACATTCCTTAATAATTATGATTTCCCACACTAGAAATGGACCTACCAAGGTACAGGGTGAGGATGGGAGAAATAAGCTGGGACAGAAATCAACTCCTGCTACAGTAATTTCACATAAATGGCTATAATAAGCTGAAGTAGGTTTGGCTCTAAAAGATCTTGTCTAAAACCCATAGCTGCGTTTACAACAGATAAGAAAGCCCTTTGCTCACGATGACAGAGTAATTTTATCTGTTAAATAAAATCTGAAGCTTGAAGTACACACAAGAGTGTTAAAATTCTCAAAGCAACTCCAAAACTGAAGGCGAAATGAACAGTAACCATTTAAAAACACTTTCCTAAAGTAAGTAATCGTACTGAGTCAACCTTTGCTAGTTTATAGCAGCACAGTACAGAGTACTTTGTTTTTCAGTCTGTTAGGTAAATCATTGCAAAACTTTGCAGGCAATTACCACAAGCTAGAAAGGATTACATTTCAGCCTGTATTCAACTAGAATACAGAGCAGATAATAATTTTGCAGGTTCTGTATTATACATTACCTTACATTTACGATAGATGCATACTAATGCAGAATATTCTCTTTTAATCTATTTTCTTTTCAATATGCCCTGATAAAACTTAGCCAATTAAAATTACTTTAAAAAGCTGAGCTGTTACACAGACCTAAAAAAGAGGCACTGATAACGTTTTCTCAGTTTTAAGGAAAAAGTGCAGATATCTAACAAACAAAACTGCAAATAAGAAATCAGAATGCAAATATCCTGACAAAGATGAGTATATAGGACATATTTTCAGTTTCCACTGTCATACACAGAAAACAATCTGCTAATTTTAATTACTGACAAAGCTACAGTTGTGTGCAACAACTTTCAGCATATGACATTTAAGAGAAAAGGCTTAGTTAAGAGCCGTGCTTCACCGGCTCTATGAATTTACAACTGCCAGTAACAGGTAAAGCAGCATTTCATTTTACAGTGGAAAGATGCCAGTAAAAGTAGAGCGCTATATATCATATTTATAAGCATGTGTGTACATATATATGCATGCCTACTTCAAGAAAATGTTGTAAAACAAGAAGAAATTATTGAAGATTATATTTTAAATAACTTACCTTTCGCCCATCACTTGCATGGCAATTCACATTTAGAGGAGTCAGTAGAGCCATTAGTTTTTCCTCATTACCACTCCTATAAAAAACATAGGAAGTCAATTTTTATAAAGTTATAGAGCCTATGTGTATGAATATTTTTTTACAAGAGAGTGAAATATAATAAGGATTTGCTGTGATTTCTTTCATATGGAACACCATGAGTTTCTTTTCCAATATTCAATTGAATTAGTGTATTCAATTGAATTAGTATTTATTACCTGTTAATCACATCATGATATATCTTAGATCATATACTTTCTACATTTTAATTTGTTTCATTTACCTTCAGAAAGTCATCTCCTTAATTACAAACCAACTTTATTCTGATAAATGATCTAAAACACTGGAGTTCAAAAAGACATGGAAAAGGGTAACAAGCAAATCAATTAAATTATAAGTGCTCAAGAACAACAAAAAAAAAGGTGTGGACTCAACATTTACTTTATGTCCCTCATTCGGGCTTTGCTAGAAAAATCTTGAGAGGGAAATGAAGATACAGGTATTTAAACATTCCAAGCATATCATTTAAAAGGCTGGGCAACTAAGGTTTGTAGGTAGGTTAAGAAACGTTCCAAATAAAATTAATCTTATGATCATCACCACAGTGAAAGATTTTATCACTATATAAATATATTCATCATGTAAAATAAAGTCTACGAAGACTTAGTACAAGGTCATATCTGCATTACTGCATAAAATCCAAGCAAGACAATAACATCTTATAATTTTTATAGTTTTCCACCTGCCCTCCCCTTATGCATTATACACACTTAAAATGAATGGAATTGCTTACCTAGCAGCTTCTAGGAGTTCGTCTTTCTTGTATTCACCTAGATGATTGCAAAATATCATGCTGTTAGCATTTGGCAGAAGACAGATTAAGAAATGCAGTAGGCAGCAAATAGAGAATGAAATAGAGAAGAACAGAAAAAGAGAGTCCACACCCCGCTGGGTGATGGAGCCGTGACGTTAGCCAGCTTGTGAAGGCAGCATCACCAGTGCCTTGGAGACGGGCAGCAAATTGACGCAGCTTCTTGTCCAATCCTCAGATGAAATAGCTTTCTTCAGACAACCAATGAATGCTAAATCTCGTGTCCAGAAACACATTCCCTCTGATAACAGCATGCCAGCTGAAGACAATGTCCCCTCCCCCCTTTTCTATTCAGGCTGTCACAGTATACTTGTGAAGCATAATCCATTCTGAGACAAAAGCAATATCATGTGGCTCCTTAGAGGAACAAATTATTGGTCTTCAAAAACAGTGTTATTTGTAATAATATGAAAAGTTTTTTTAAAAAAATAATTACCATTATTGAGCTTTATAGTAGTAGAAAATGCAAATATCAGAACCACGAAGCCTCTGCCTCAATAGGGAAGGTCTGTAGATTAGAAATACGTGAACTACGTACCAAATGCTATGAACCTCTTGGAGGCAGAGCTACAAAAGCGAAACGGAATACATTCTTAAATGGTAATAAAAGCATGCTCTAACCTTTATACTTTACACAATTTCAATATCAGATTTTAACATACAATAAATCTTAAACATGTTTTAAAAGGAGGCTGGGGGTCTCTGAGAATGAGCAGTTATCCAATTACCATGATGTAGCTAATTTTTCCCATTTCTATCTTTTAACAATGGATTTTCAAAATATATCACAGATTGAAAACAGAAATATAATCAAAAATCTTTCATAACAAATTTCTTAAAACACTCAGGATCTAACAAGTTTCTTTCACAAGCACAACTGAAGGAAAAGGAATTTTAACACAGTGTTTGTTCATTCAATAAATAAAAAGGACAGCCAGGAGTATGCTTCAGCCATAATGCACTGACTCAGTTTGCTATATCATTAAAGACATAATTATATAAAGTGTCTTACCAAATCATTATATAGAAACAAATACTAAGTAGATATAAAATTTTAGATTAAATTAAAAAGTTATAATTCTAGTATGAAATAAGTTTAAGCTTAAAAAAGTTTTACTTATAAATGTGAACTTTACATTTTGTTTCTGTATTGTTATAAAAGGCATTATAACATATTATAAAACTATCTCAGAATCACCAAGCTCTTGTTTAAATTCTACAGTTCATGACTAGCACATATTTTTTACTTTTAACTTTGTCTTGTCTCAATCAGATATTTCCAAATAAGGAAAACCTGTTAAAATATCTATCCTATCTTTGGGGACCTTATATATCAATAAAGTTACAGCCTTAATATATAGAAATAAACCAGAACGCACAATTTCATGGTCATAGAATTGGTGTTCCAATTTCCCATAAATTATATTTCAGATTTCTTTAACAAATGACAGTGTAAAAGTCATATTATATATCCTCTAGCCAATAAAGCTCAAAGCTAAAGATTTACTCTTCATTAAATGTTTTAGGTAACAATACAGAAATTGAACATTTTAGGCAGAAATACAGAAGTTACAAAGCCAATTTTAAAATACTCTTGTGAGGGAAAGACATAACCCGTACCTCAAATGACTACAGAATCAAGATATATATAAACCAAATTATGGTATATAGCAGTATCTATAAAGTCATTTATTCATTTGAAAGGCCTACAGACCGGGTTCAAAAACAAGACATTATGATCTCTGAACTCAAAGAGTATTTTTTTTTTTTTTCCCTCCGGTACCGGGAACCGAACTCACGACTTTGCGCTTGCCAGGCAGGCACTTTGCCGCTGAGCTAAATCCCCAGCCCTCAAAGAGTATTATTCTATGAAAGTAAAAAATGATTACAGTAGAAAAGAAAAAATCTTATGAAATGCCAAGGATTTACTGGCTAATCTAAATGAGATTAATAAGAGGCAGGGTAGACGCAGTTTAGCGAGTATTTCCTGGAAGAGGGGCAAGTTGAAGAGAGGTTTGAAGAAAAACAGGTAATCCCCAAGTTAATATCGGCAGGGAACTACAGTAAAAGAAAAACGAGAAGGGAAATGATAGCTCTATAAACCTGACAAAAGAATACCTGGGAAGGAATGGGCAAGGATGAGGCAAAGAATACAACCGTTCCCTAAGCTAAGAAGTTTGAGCTTTACTTTGCAAGCAATGAGAAAATACTGAAATATTTTAACAAGGAATATGCAAAGGCTATTTAAAGATCTGGAGGTTTTGTGATCATACAGAGAGAATATTCCCATAGTCTAGTTCAGCAAGTTTTTGTTGGGCAGGAATGTAGCAGGAGAGCAAGGAAGGCAGGAAGAAGGAATAAAGGATGGGGAGAGAGAAACAAAAGATATTCTGACACAGCTTATATTTTGGAGTAAGTATAAATTCCTTGATAGACAGTGAAAACACATTAATACTGTGAACTGCATATAGCTACTACTGAGATTTAAGTCATAGAGATTCATGACTCTAATAAAGCAAGGTATGAAACTGCAAAGTATTTGGGAGCTTCAAAGTTCAAATCAGTGTACCTATATGCACTTCTCATCATGCATAGCTTATTGATGTTTTCACCAAAAGGCACATTTTGAAAAAAAAATGTTATTCCTTCCCAGATAGTCTGATAGTAAGCCAAAGATTTCAAAAGGAAATATATAATAAGTGCACCCAACAGAGTCAGACACAGGCATTACAGATGGCTTTCTACTCTTACTGTTAGGGATTCTAGTACTTTAATCAGCTTTTCTGCAATACATCCAAGCATCCACTATCTGGTGCCCAAGGACCACAATCCATAAACAACTGAAGTTATTTTTCAAATGCTACCTCACAGGAACAACTAACACAATGAATTTAGAGCTTCTCATACATTCTGACAACAAATCTAAGCTCCTTACTTAACAGCCAAACCACCAGTTTCATCTTAGCCGAGAAACTTAAAATATTCTAGCTGAGACTATCGAGCTCTATGGAACATTTATATTCTTTAATAACATCCAATAAAGGCTGGCAATAGATCAGCTAGAAAGTAGGCAATTATAGTCAAGGTAATAGCAGCTACGAATACAAAAAAATAGACAGCTTAAAATATTTTTATTAGATGAAGGGTGGTAAAAAAATAACCAAGCTATAAAGTTACTTTTTGATGTCAAAATTTTTATCAGTAAAATAACATTATACATGTAAAAAGCATACCCACAAATACAAAGACATACAAATTAGCATTTTAAAAAGCCATGTTATTGGATGAAGGTTAAGAATAAAATCATCCTCTATTTCTGTGAGGTAGTCAGAAACAACTTCTCTTTCACTTAGTGTAAAAGCAGTATTACCTTCTGAATAAAAATGATGCAAACTTATATAAGTAAACTAGAAGTCATGATTCTTAACTGACTCCAATTTTCTCACTGCAAGGGCTTTATTTATTCATTTATTTTACTTCCTTCTTCAGCAACAGACATGATCAAACTAGACTTAAGTTTTGTAAAAAAAAAAAAAAAATGTTATTTGGTTTTATTGGGACAGAGCAGCACAGAAAGATTACCAACTTGCAACCATAAATGCTTAAAGCAATAAGGGCCTTAAAGAATTCTGACACTAATTTTCCATTTTCAGCCCACATATGATATACACCTATTAGCAATGTCTGCCTTATACAAAATGCCGACGAATGTAGTTAAAGTCACCCATCTCCATACCGCCTCACCCCCAATTCCAGGACAGCTCTAAGGGATCACCTATAGCATATTTACTTACAGCTAATGGCACTGGTGCCCCAGCAGTTAAATGGATGTCTAAGGTTTCACTGAGGATTATCCACTATTTTCTCAGGCTCTGAACCAGGCTAGTATTTATGAGTGCAAATTCACCAAATCTGAGCTTCAAAAGAAGTGATATAATAAAAGAGAACAGAAAATAATAACAAGACAATTATTTTAAAAAGACAATTACTAGCTTTAAACAGGTTAAACATATTAATAGATTAAGCCCAAAACTCCCATCAAAACTTGAACTTTCATATTAGCTTGTAAACATGGGCCACTGGGCCATGCAAAAGGAATAAAGAAAATTCATTGCTCACATGATCGATGCATTTTGTATTTCCCACAGCATGCTTTAATTCCTTAACTTACTAGGTATCTCAAGAGCAGAGCTATGCAAAGACTTCAGTCAAGAACCTCAATTACCAAGTGAGGATTCAGAAATATAGTATAGGGAATATAACATAACATAGAGACCCTTGTGTTGCTGAGTGGTAAACATTACCATAAATAGGTAATTCTGAAAGAGATATTTTTTCACTAAGGCATCAGCAAATATAGTGGGTTAATTATATTTAACTGTTTCTTATACCTAAACCAACAGTTTATTTGCAGAATAAAATATTTACCTGACATATTCCATTGTTTTCACTTATAAATCTGAAAGTTCAGAACCATCTATATGGTTGCAGAAATGAGGCTAAAGCACCAGAAAATAATTTAATCTCAAGAAGTTAAAGTTAGGTATTCCACCAAAAGCAATTTTCACAGACTGATAGTCTACTGTCTACAAATATGGGCCCCTGGAATACCTTAGTTATTATTTTCACTATAGAGTCTTTCATGAATATTTCAGGAACAACAGAAGGAAAGTGAAAAAACTGTTAGAGCTTTCTTATTTTTAAATCTTATCAAATCTTTCCACTGATTCTGATACTGGCTTCAAAGTCTACATCAGTTAAGTCTAGAATTATGTCTCCCCCATCCCCCACTGAGTACCAAACAACACTTCATCATTATGAAATATAAGGAAAATTCCCAGACTGGAATGAATCCCTCAAATATCAAGACATAACTGCATTAAAATTAAGGACATAAATATAAATACACACTGGCCAAAGGAAAAAATATTGTAGAGTGATATAAAACATTCTTTAATG